GGATTTAAGGACCATCCTGCAATGTAAACCAAATGCTTTGCCCCCTCAATGGCTTTGTATACGTCCTCCCACAGCTTTTTGGGTGTCTGGCAAAGAGCAGATGGAGGTTGGAAAGAAGCACACTGGTGAGCGTCCTGATAGAGTGTGACACTGCAATTTGATCTCTGAGGAAATGTAGCATTCTTCAACCCCTGATATGCATCGTTTGCTAGTACTTTCTCCCAACTTGATTCATATTCTGCTGGTTTGAACCATAAGATATACTGTAATTTAAGTTTCAGATTTGGCTTACCATTTTCCCCGCAAAGAGGAAAGAAGCCATTGATCAAACTTGCTCCATCCAGAAGCTGATTGGCCAAAATTTTGATTTTCCCCAGGGTGGAGCACCTTGTCTTGAGGGCAATTGTAATGATAGTGTCAGATGGATGAGCACAGAGAATTTGAAAGGTTTGGTTCCAGATACGGTCATGTTCGTGTGCTGTCTCTGCTACTTTTTTGTTGGCAATTTTGATAGTCACGTAGGCAGGCTTTTCATTTGCCACACACTGCATAACAGACAAAGTTCACTGACTAAATTCTTCTTTAAAACGTCCAGTCTTGCTGGCGTATGTCAACAATATTATCGTCTTCTCGTATACAGAAGAGAAGACAATCCAGAGCAAAATTCTGGATTGTCTACCGTGCAGCAAGAAGCGATTATTTGTGTAGTATGGTGAATGTGTAACCATTCTTCATTTTATGTATATATGCTTATGATCAGAATCCCTTTTTCTTGGAATAGAAAATGCAGGGGAGTAAAATTATCACTCATCAGGCAACACAGATGCCATAATTATCCAGACACAAACATTATACATGTGGAGATGGAGCCGGGAAGATGAATAATGGTCTAAACTTATACCAGAATTTAGTAGGCAAAAACATTGCGAAGAACTTAACTTGACAAGGGAAAATGAATTTAAAGAAGAAGATATGAAACACTTACGCTGAAGCGGAAGGACGGTTTGTAAGGTGTGGCATGGCAGATAGTAGCTTCAAGTGTTCCATGGAAGAACTTGTGTTTTCCCTCCATTTTTTTTTTTTTTTTGGTTGCTGGTGCGGGAGTCCAGAGAGTAAGACGACAGAAATGGCTGGTTTGGTAGTTAACTCATGTTGGCATTAACAGATGAACATATGAATGGGAGGTTAGTTTGTTATTGTAACAGATGAATATATGAATGGTGGGGGGACTTGGAATGTAACTTAAGTTAGGCAGTTGCGATGACTTGTGGGGATTTCCTTTTCTAGTCTTACAGGCAATCCTCAAAGTCTACCCTTAGATTCCCCTTTAAGCAGAAGCTTTCTTGGTAAAGAATAGCAAGTAGCATAGCCATCATTCAACTCCCTTTGGTAAATCATTCATTCTATAAGCTGCCATAATGTTATTGATTCTTTCATCAGATTCGGGAGTGCCTGCCTGGTCAAGGCCCAATTTTATAAATTTGTGGAGAAGTACAACAGTGCATAGGAGAAAGGTGGATGGAAAGATGGGAATCCAGCTCTCATTAATTATCATACGATTTTTTTAACATCGGACGAAAGATTTTGCCTTGCAACTTCCTTGTGTTACAGATTTCCTATTGGAAAGAGCTGCTGGCTGTAACGTGGGGTGCACAAATTTTGTTGCTTCGACTGGTCAAGTTACGTTAAAGAAACTTTTTCTTTGTACAGAATGAGAAACTCGAGGAGGAGAAAGAAAATAAAGCAAGAAATGGGAAAGGAAAAAAGAAGAAAATTTTTGTACGTAGTTAATTGAATTCCTTCAACATCAAGAACTTACAAATCAAATCTACTCTTTTTTACTCTCCCGCCTGAGCCGCCCCGCCCCTTTCTTTGTCAACTTTATCACCAAAATTGCACAAGTACATAAAACCAACGGACTTGTGCAAGTAAAAACTCTTTCAATGTGGCTAGTCCTCCAACGGATAGGAGACTGGAGTAAGTTTGAATGGCAAGAACTTTTTGAAGTCGTAATGCTGTTCTCGGTCTTGTACAAACTAGTGTGAATATCCGTGCTACGCACGGTGCTAATATTATTGAAAAAAATAAAATGATAAACAAATAAAGGTGAAAAAATTGAACCAACAAATTTTAAATGTAATATCTATTTAACAATAGTTTAAAATATAATAGAATGTGTATATCATTCAAGAACTGTCTTTTCTCGAAAGATGGATCCTGAAAAAAAAATAAAATCTATATTAAAAAAGGGAATGATATATTTCTACAAATGAATGTAATTGAATGTGGTTAAAATGAAATACTTACAAATACTAAGCATTCGATTTGATAATCTTCCTTGAAGGTGCGAACACTCTTCACACCAATCCACTTTTAGTACGAAAGCCAAAATTGGTGATTTAATTAACTCTGTTGAATTTTGTGGAGTGCGTACTACAAATGAAAATGCACGATCTATGCATGAATTAATTCGTTGGCCGAATAACCTATCATTATTTTCCTGATAATTAACAACGTACGAAATTAGTGTATTTTTTTACATGATTTATAAATAGTACTATAAAAAATAAACATATATTAAGAAATTCTACCTTCCTTTGTAATGCCCTGAGATAAGAAGTATCACAACCAAATACAAATCGTGCATGTCTGTCTTGTAGATTAATATGCATATTACCACTGGAATCTCTGATTTGTATATTAACGTTATACCTGTTTGACAAATAAAATATTATATGCAATACAGAAAAATATATTGAAGTTAAGTATACATGAAATTAATTACCTAATAACAGTGGCAACCACGTCATTACAATGCATACACACTGTCTTTGAAAAATGACCTTCACATAGCTGAATACCATTTTCGTTCCTTGAAACCGTTTGTTCTGGCGAATTAAGGCAACAATAGCATCCTATTTTCTTCCCAAAACATCATATTCGTAGTGAATAATAATCTGTGTGGTTTGTTGTGAAAATCTAGTTATGAAATTTACTTGATAATGTTCAGAATTAGCTTCATCTTCTTTGTTTTGGTGCTTCTGCACAAGAATTTAGCCATATATTTTATGTTATTGGAGTGATCTTTTAAATTCGGTGAAAAAAATAGCAGTTGATCATATGGTTCTGACTAATGTGGCCCCGTGGATCAAGTTTTTTAAGTCTGGACTGCGGAGGGAAAGGTAACTTTATAGATGAACTTGGTCTCCTGTGGATGCCTGATAGTCAGATGATCAGGCATTTTTGAAAAGTGATGGCTCTCTCTCTCTGTATATGTCCGCTTTTTGTCAGTGTGGATATTAAATAAACGCGTACAGTCACTTATTATTCACAACGAAAAGCGTATCTGCTGTCTATACCGCACGAAAAATTAATACATTTTTGGGTCTCTCTGTCTCATGTTTATTGTTGCCAATACTAATGTATTAGGCTGTATTTGAGAGTAGGCCAGGGGTGATTATTTGCTTAAAGGCGACTGGATAGACCATATGTATTAAAGAATCGACGTTTGGAAATGTTCGTAACTTAATAAAGAGTATAGCCAAAAGGACACTATTTTTGTACTCTTGCAGCAGGTAGCAGAATAGAATCACAAAGAAAGTACTGTTAAAGGTAAACAAAAACTTGGAAATAAACATGAATTCGACTCATATATGGTAGTAGAAAATGTGGAAACACAGAACTGCGTTAGAGTTAAGACGCCACCCAGATGATATAAATCCAGGTAGTATTATTAGTCTTGCAAGAGCTCTGCAGTTTGGAGTTGGATGGGTGCTGGTGAAACACCGTTGTTGTTTCCTCTCCTGATATACTAAAGAAGTCAAATCTATGTGCTTAATGTCTATCCCATTAATTGTCAAATACCATTAATGTCTATCCCATTAATTACGTTACAGTTAACATATTTGACCTTGTTAAAAGTTCTGAAAAATTACAAAGTAATTTCATAAATTCATTTTCAGCATCTGTTCTTTATTTTCTTATTATTACGTTACAATTGGCATGCTGCTTGATGTACTACAGAAGTCAAATCTATGTGCTTAATGTCTATCCCATTAATTGTCAAATACCATTAATGTCTATCCCATTAATTACCTTACAATTAATGGGATATATGGCAAATAATGGGACATTAAGTCTATTCAATTAAATTAAATGATTAACTTTTTTTGTCCAACTTTACTTTGAAACGAAATCTATGTGCTATCGAGGACTTCATTTCCAACAAAAAAAAAAAACACCATCTGCCTTTTAAGACTGTGCTAATGCTTCCCGATATTGAAGAATTCAGAACCTGGAAGAAATGGCTAGTCATTTTGTCAATAGCATCTGCATTAGAACAGCCGACAGTTTCAAGCTGGATTCAAGCAAACCAAAAGGGTGCATTTCTAGATCAGGTATGCTCATAATTGTAACTACTCCTTTTGTACCAATCTTAATGCAATAACTGCTACACTGGTATCTGAATTCTTTAGTCTCTTCTCATCCTCTTCACGTAAGAGTTATTGCTATGCAAGATGAATTTCCAACGTTTCCTGATGTTGACCATTAATGTCTATCCCATTAATTATGTTACAATTAATGGGACATTAAGTCTATTCAATTAAATCAAATGATTAACTTTTTTTTGTCCAACTTTACTTTGAAACAAAATCTATGTGCTATCGAGCACTTCATTTCCCAAAAAAAAAAAAAAAACACCATCTGTCTTTTAAGACTGTTCTAATGCTTGCCGATATTGAAATTTAAGACTCTAGTTATGAAATTTACTTGATAATGTTCAGAATTACCTTCATCTTCTATGTTTTGGTGCTTCTGCAGAAGAATTTAGCTGTATATTTTATGTTATGGGAAGGGGGGGATATGGGGGCGTGGGCTACTGGGCTGTGGTGGGGGTTGGGGTTGCGGGGATATGGGGGGCGTGGGCTGTGCTTCTGCATTTTTTATTTTTCAAGTTAGAAGAAACTCTATCCCTTGCATAGGTAAAGAAAAGAGAATTAAGAGATGGAGTTCCAAATATATTCTTTTAATAATTTCACGTACTTTTCATCACTTTTTTTTTGTAAAAAAAAGGATTTTAGGCAATCATGATTTGGACTAATTCTCATTTCGCTCTTTGCGTTTTAATTTTAACATATTTGACCTTGTTAAAAGTTCTGAAAAATTCCAAAGCAATATCCGACCTGGAAAGGCAAAGCAAAACATACTTAAAAGGTAGAGGGACCGACCTGGAAAAGAAGGTTGATTTCTAATGAAGGTTGTGCACATAATATCTTCCATTACTGCTCACAAAAGAAACAAAATCAATACATTTACAAAATTAATAGAAAACCAAAAACAAATAAGAAACTAAGAGAGAGGGTGAGGGAATTAACTCGATAAGTTAATTAAGTCGATCAGTATAAGGGTTGGGAAAAAATTATAGACATATTATATTATTGGAAATAATCAAAAATAAAAAAATATTACAATATTGGGACTAATATTTGGAATTACAATGGAAATGCCAATATTTAAAGAAAACATGATACCAGATTTTTTAATTTGGTGCGAGCGACGTTTTAATCGGTGTAGTCTGGATTTTGTCCTTCGGATTTGATTTGAAATTTATCTTTCGTCAGCGCAAACTTGATGAAGCTTTTCCAACTGGTGTGTGGAATCGTTGCGGTGTATGTTTCGTTTCCTAAGCAAATGTTTCCTCCGTTGCAATCTTGCGAGTTTGAAATCTAGTTGTTGTTGAAATGCTTGTAGGCGGACATATTCCATGGTGAGGAAACTTTAGATGGGTTCCCTACAAAATTTGAGTGAAAAATTTTAATATGTTAAATAATAGGACAACTTGAATTTGGGATAGCAGATAAGTGGGGCAAAGTTAAAAAAACACAATAATACTAATCAATACCTAAATGAGCAGGGTCACTTACTGAAAGGTAGTCACCGCCGGCTTCTTGACGTCTGCCGAAGGTTCAAGAAAAAAAGTATGATGCGTACTAAGAAGAGCACCGGAGTTGTGGTACCAAAGCTGCATCAGTTTTCATTGGTCAAAAAGGGCGTAAGTTAATAGTATTTTCCAATGGCTAAAAGATTGCAAAATTCTAACATACACAAACAATATTTATGATGTAAAACAGAAACTTCTAATTCCAATAAGCCCAAAAAAAGTCATACTAAAACATTAACAAATAAAGAAATCCAAAAAAAGGAATAGGCAGATACCTTTGGAGACGGCACCAAGATGGACTCAAATATCGATGAAGAGGATGAAGCAGAGGACTCCTTGGACCCAAAAAGATCAGAAGTGAATGAAGAAGAAGAACCAGATTGCTTTCTTTTGTGAGAAGTGTATGATCGCTCCTAGGTAGTTAATGGCGGAAATGTACATATACTAAAACGTGGTATGATGATAGTGGGAAACGTGGGAGGAAATATAGGAGTGGTTATAGGGTGAATTAAGAGATAGTGGGAATTTTTTAACTTTAAATTTGATTGGTGATAAGGTGGTTATTATTCACTACATTTTATGTATTAAAATAAATACAAAAATCTAGAAAAAAGAATGAGAAGTTTAGAAGTCATTGAAAGGGTTTCTGCTAAAAACCCCTTCTCAAATTTATATAGATATAGATTGCTTTTGCTTTTGTAATTCATTCTTCATGTTTTGTACACGTATTCTTCACCAATATCAATTGACAGATCTTACTGAAGACCTTGTTTGGAATTTTTTTTTTTGTTGAAAAAAAAAAGAGTGCTTTTCGACGTGAGCGGTTAAATTCTCTATCCTATTGAATAGTACTTTGTGATAATTTGACCATGAATTTCATGAACAAGTTTGCCCCAATCCTGACCCTTCTTCATTTTTTTCATTTTCGTTGTGTGGATTTATCTCTTTCCTTTTTTTATGGGAGTTTTCTAGTTGTATACCAATCCTGCCCCGGCACCATTGAAAGGCACACTCTTTATAATCGCTATCTGCTTATGCCATTGGCGCCTCCAATTTTGGTTGACTTTTGAGCTACGTGTACCCACCAACTATGCATGCCCTATTGTTTTCTTCCTTTTTTTTTTAATGAGTAATCAATAATATTAGCATGATCTAATGCGAACGCTTAAATTCTAAAAAACTTTTTTTGCAGAGAATCACTTAAACCGAATCGTTGAGCAACAGATTCCCTAGATTTGAAGCGTGAAAAACTTGAAAACAAAGCATAACAATCATGAAAATTATTTACAAAATATTGTCGAATATAATGTATTATCTACTTCCTTCATGGAGTATAACATGAATTTATTAGATAAGGGGAGAAAAAGATGACATTCATTTTCACTAAAAGATTGTAGATTGAGGATATACAACAGTCTCTTTTTTTTTTTTAGGATATACAGTCATTAGCTTTTTGTACCATAAAAAAAAATTCTTCTTAAATAAGCTATCAGCCAATTGTCAAAATTAACTTTCTATGATTTTGATGGATTAAAATTGGAAAGGAAGGGGAAAAAAAACTCACAAGTTTAATCAGGATTAGAGGGTATTATGACATCTACAATGGAGTATAATGATGCGTGTAATGCTCATCATGATACGGGTTCATTACACGACCACCCATTGTAGCCACGTAATGCCCATTACACGCATCATCAAGATGATGCGTGTAATGGGTGGGCTAGTGTTAAAATTTAGCAATGACAAAATTTATACCAACAACGTTAAAGTTAGCAATGTTCATTATTTTTTTAGGAGTTATATTTTAATTCTCTATATAAACACACAACACACTCATTTTTTTTTTTATATCCTACCATTCTACTCTATTATTTCTTTTCCTCTCTCACTCATTTTCCTCAACCTGTTTGCACAATTTTTTAAAATTTCAATATTTTGTGATTATGGATGAAAATTTTAGTAGTTTTACAAATATGTTAAATGCTTCAAATATAGAAAATTCATCCTCCTCACAAAATCAAAACCCCCAAAATTTTCCAAATTACCCATTTTCTGGTATTCCTACAAATGTGCAAAATTCTTTTTGTCCCCTAAATTTATCCACTTCTGGTATTCCTATAAATTACCCATTTTCTAGTATTCCTACAAATGTGCAAAAAATAATAATATATTATTTTTGAGAGATAGAAAAAGATATATTGTTCAAACTTAGAAATTAATAATATTATTTTTTAGAAAATAAAAAATCCAAAAGGCAAAAAATTTAATGAAAATTAATACTTTATTTTTTAAAAATAACAAAATTATTTTTAAAAAATTACTTTACTTATTTATGGAATATGAGTTATGCATTATTAAAATAAATATTTAATTTAATTATAGACCTATACTATTACATCTTGTGGAGTATAATTTATTATGAGTGAAAGTATAATAAAAGAGGAGAAAATAGAGTGTTCACTTGGCATGTGCATTACACTCTAAAGAGTGTAAACTATTGTGATACTTTTAGTAAGTACCATTTCATTTCATGCCCTTGGCAGCTAACAATTGGGTAGTGGTCACAGACAACATTGAAGCCACGTAAGAGGCATTTTTTTATTAAAAAAATGGAGGGCCAGATATCTTTAAAAAATCATTTTGATTTTTGACAGCTTTTCAGGGAAGGAGGAAGCAGTCCACGTGGTGACAGATGCCCGCTTCGTTGGAACCTTGCCGTCTTTACTCCATCGCCGTCCCCACGACGCTTAGTGTGGTCTTATCCCCACCTTTATCCCGCTCCTGTCCCTTGGACCCTCTTTGGTTAGTTGAAACTGTCGGGTCTTTGGGACTCGGGACGGCAGTCTTGCAACGAGCTCCTAAGGAGGCAAACATGCCCTTTTCCAAAAAATAAAAAAAAATAAAAAAAATTGTGGATGAAATAATGTAATACGCGTCCATTGGATATGGTTCATTTTAATCAGCCACATAAAAGAAAGGAAATCACTAATGAGTAGGCCTGTCAACGGGTCGGATCTAGACCTGGATTCGGGCCGAATCCGTGAAATTATTGCGAGTATGGGTAGGGATTTAATTACGTTTCTCGGATCCGGATCCGTTTTGTCAAACAAAAAACGGGTCGGATACGGAATATAGTATTTCGACCCGTATTAGACCTGGATCCGGATATAAATGAATTAATAATTTAAAATATATATATTTATCAATATAATTTGATTAGGGTGATGTATTTGAATAAAGTCAATTTGATTTCTTTTCTTATTTGGTTTTTTCTTTGCATTAGTTAGAAATTAGTTTACAAATATATTTTTTTTTCATTTTTATTAGAAATTATAAATTTTGCTAAATTTGTTCGGGCAGGCCCGACCCGGATCCGGGACCCGTCGGATCCGGATCCGGATCCGGAACATATAATAAAAGACCCGTCGGATAAACGAGTCGGGTCCGGATCCGGTATAGTAATTCGGTCCGGGTCCGGAATAATGAATTCCGGCCCGGACCCGGCTCGTTGACAGCTCTACTAATGAGCATACCAGCTAATTTGACAATAGAATTAGTAGTAGGTTTAGCATTCTGATTTGAGGAATTGGGATTGAAAAAGAGTCATGTCAACTACAATGTTAGTCTAATCAAGCTTAACTCCGACTAAGATTTACTATTATGCTCCAATCCAGGATTTGAGTAAGGTAACATAACTAAGTTTATTTAAAAAAAAACAGGAGTCTAAATCGAGTCTTTTTTTAGTTTAATTTGAGTTGAACTTGTCCGAGATTTTATTATGTTTTAATTCGGGTTTGAACTTGATAAAAGCACAATAACTGTAAAACTCGATCCTAACTGAGTTTCAATTCATATCAAATTACTTTTATCAACCTAACTCAATTAGCTTACGCTTGTAATATTTTGTAACTTTCATGAGTTCTTTCAAGGAATTTATCATAATTTACATGATAATGAAAAATATATGGTAGGAAACTTCAACTGTGCATAATAAAATTGAAAAGAACAATTTTCAAATGAAACTATATCCATTATGGGATGAACAAAACATTTTTTTAGGATCACCGTTTCATATACGTATTGACTTTCAAAAAATAAAAACAAAGAAAAAGACAGAATAGGCCACTCACAAATTAACGGCATTAGGACAAAAATTATGTGTCCATAAAGGGTGACAACGGCCTTCCATTGCCATTTAGGAGCATTGGTAACATTTAACTTTTGAACCCTAATCGTATACAACCTTAAACTGCATTTTTTTAACTACTAATCTTTAAGGCAAATTCACCCCAAGATTTTATTTTTTTTTCCAGAAAAGAAAAGGTCACACCCGCACCAAATGAACGGGGGAAAGTTACGAGTTCATGACCGTACAGAAAAATCGACCGTGTCTCTTTTATTCTCTCTGATTGCGATTGGAACGGCCCAAATCGTAAGTCGTAGTGTATTTGACTTGCACCATATAGAGTCCACGGCCCACACCACCCCCCCCCCCCCCCCTCCCCAACAAAAAAAAAACCACAAGAAATAAATAATTCGCTGCATCACATCAGCCACTTTCTCATTTACAACCGCCCCTTTGAGCTTCTCATCTCATCACTTAAGTTACTACCCCCACACCCCCCTCTCTCTCTCTCCCCTATTCATTGTGAAAACCCAAAGAGCATCCTCACACTACCTTCAACATAAAACTAACTTCAAATTCTCCGGAGAATGACGACATACGGCACAATCCCGACGTCATCCGGAGGCGGAGGCACTAGGCTCGAGTACATAACACGCGCTAAAGAGCGAATCAAGGAAGGCCTCGGCACTCGACGCCCATGGCGGGAGATGTTCAACTTCCACTCAATTCGACTTCCCCCGAGCTTCCGCGATGCGCTGGCCCGAATCAAAACGAACGTGTCGTATTTCAGGATGAACTACGCCATTGTAGTGCTCGTGATTCTCTTCCTCAGCTTGCTCTGGCACCCGATCTCGCTAATTGTGTTTATAGTAATGATGGCGGCCTGGCTCTTCTTGTATTTCCTTCGGGACGAGCCGCTGGTGATTTTCGGCCGTTTGATTAATGATCGGGTGGTGTTGATCGTCTTGTCTGTGCTTACAATCGTTCTGTTGCTGTTGACTCATGCCACGGTCAATATTCTGGTGTCCTTGTTGATTGGGGCTGTGCTGGTTGTGCTTCACGCGGCGTTGAGGAAGACCGAAGATTTGACCGTGGATGAGGAAGCCGCTGGTGGGCTCTTGGGCTCGTCCGGCGGCCCAAGCTCGTCTTAGTAGCAGATGCTCCTAGTTGCGTTTGTGTATGTTGTAATGTTCCTTCCTTTAATTAATTACTGAAGTCCCCTCCAAAAAAAAAAGAAAAGAAAAGGAACGTCCCTTTAATTATGTTGTACTTATTTCTGTAATTTATTTATGATTCTTGAATCATTTGTTTCATGTCAAATTGTTATTTGTTCGATTTATTTTGCTGATGTTGTTCGCGTGCTTGCTCACTTCAATTGGATTTACTAGTTCCAAAGCAACAATAAGGTCTCAACTCTACTCATTTTTTTTTATATATATATATATATATATTTAATTGCTTTTATTGCTTTTATTGCTTGGTTTTGGTAGCTGTATGGGGATTGGGACTTTTGAGGCCTCTGGGCAGCTGGGATTCTTGGGAAAATCTACGGGTAATGTATATTATTACATGTTCGTTGCCCGAACAAATAAATGGTTGCTTTTCCGGATGATCATTTGACTCTCATCAAGTGCAAACTTTGGGGCCTTAGATAGACATAGCTGTGAACGGACTATTGGTCAACTCATCCATTGACCATGCCAAGTATCAACTTACCAAAAAATTGAGCTTGAAAACTCGTTGAATTTGATTAAACTTCATTTGGTTGAACTCAAGCTCCAGTGAGTTAAACTAGCTCAATTTTGAAGAACTGAAATCCCAAAGCAAATTACTCATGTTAGTGAACATATTCTCTAGGCAATTGAAGGTTAAGTTTTTTTTTAAAAAAAAAAAAATTCCCAGACAAATGCTCTCTTGTGGCTATTTTTGTATTCTTTTTTCCCCTTTTTTTGAAGCTTGAACTTCAAATTCTGTCTGGGAGCACTTGATTTCCTATTAAGAAAAATAACGATAAACAAGGTATGTGTCGTTAGAATGACGCAAAAAAAAAAAATAGAAATCTTATAACAGGTACTTTTTTTGGTACTACACAATTTGCAGTTGAGATTCTAATACTACAATTTGAAGTCACTATAAAAAGAAAATAGAGAAAAATGAGAATATTCTATCAAGGGTTCAAATTTCAGAATTGATACGGAGACGGCATGTATTATCTACAAGTAGATACGGTCTCTCCTTAACATAACCAGCCCAGCCCAGCCCATCAGCGCTGGCTTCTGGAGTAGGGCCTTGGGACAACCACATCATCCCACGCTCACAGGGCGGTTAATATGCTGTGTTGGAGTAAATCAGTGAAAAGGGATGTGGGAATTCACTTCCACTAGTTAAAATAGTACAAACTGTATGGTAAAAACTACCAGTAGTGTCTCCAACTGTGGGTGTTCCACAACACCGGCGACGGCGTTTGAGAATGACTCACCCTCCACCACTCCGGTACGATCCTTACTATCCACAGCCTCCTTATTTTCCGCCCGAAAACTACGGGTTCAGCACCATCCCTACCGTCCCCGCCACCACCACCAGGGATCCTAAAGGAGGCATCAATACACTGTTTGTCTCTGGACTCCCAGATGACGTTAAAGCGCGTGAGATACACAACCTCTTCCGCCGCCGGCCCGGATTCGAGTTCTGCCAGCTCAAGTACACCGGCCGTGGCAATCAGGTCTCCTTCTCCCCCCTCATGCATTTCTCTGTAATTTCCTCCTTCTAGTTCCTGGAAGAACATCGGACACTGCTGACGATAAGCTAGTGAAGAAGATATTCAAACGATAGAAGAACAACAAAATCCTGACTTTAGTGTTAATTGTTCAAATTGTAGGTTGTTGCATTTGCTACGTTTGTGAATCATCAATCAGCAATGGCAGCGCTTCATTCACTAAATGTAAGTGAGTGATTTATTTATGTGGGAGAACTTTGCGTTTTTTTGAATGTTGAATAGTTTGTCAGTTATTTGCTTTTTAGGGTTGAAAAAAGTTCATATGCATTTGAAGGATCAGTTTTGTGAGGGCGAAGCTACATTTACAGTTCTGAGACCAAACATGTTCTGTGGAGTACAGGACAAATAATTAGGTAGCTCCATTTTGACCTGAAATGTTCATGGATACACTGCAGAAATTCCTCTAGACCGACATATTGGCCTGTTTTTTTCAGTTCTCCGTGGTTGTGTTTCCAAATGCTTCTTAGATAATCTTTCTGCTTTTAAGGCTTATGCTTCGTACCTCTAGTTCTCTCCAAATCCAGAATTGTTGGGAACCTTATGGCATGGTTTTGCCATAATAAGCATATGTATCTACAAGACTGCTGCTCAGTTGATTATTTTCGGATTCTTGTTATCCTCTATTTGTGTATTCTCTGATTACTTGTTCTTCAGGGTGTAAAATTTGATCCTCAAACTGGATCCAGTTTGCATATAGAGCTTGCTAGATCAAATTCAAGAAGAAAAAATAAGCCAGGTTCTATGGTCTTTTTTTATTTTTTCTTTTTTTGGGAATGGGGTGGGGGAAGTTGTATGCTCTTTTTTATATTTGATGAAAGTGAAGGCTCTGATTATTTCATATCAGTATACTGACATTCTGACCGAAATTGTTTTCATTCACAGGAAGTGGGCCTTATATTGTTATTGACAAACGAACTAAATCTTCAAATGATGCGCATGAAACATCAAGTGATGATGGTAATATTTGTTCAGTTGTCATTATTTTTCCTACTCCCACTGAACAGAATAGAGAGAAGACAAAGTTAACAATCAAATTCTATTTCCTAATCTTTTGGACATCCATTCATTTTGTTTGGTGCTGATTTACAACAAATGGGTAAAGGACTGTGCTTCAATTTTGGTTCTCTTGGTTACAAAGTTATCATGATATTTTTTGTGCCATTCAGGAGATAGTGATGATCCATCCAGGCCCAACAATCCTGACTCTGCAAACCAGGATGATTCAGTGGTGGAGAAAAGGTTTGAAAGATTTACAAACTATTTTTTTAATAACATATTCGGTGGTTTTTACACAATTGGGTAGTTCCTTCAGGAATTAGAATGTGTTTGGTTCCAAAGTTTCATTGTTATAATCTATCTTGTGATCTGGTCTTGAATAGTAGCGAGGTTGCTGCTGAAGCTGATAATACTTTAGCCCCAGAAACTGTAAGTAGGATCTATTGTACTGTATTTTCCCCTTTTCTTTGTATCATTCATTTGACTCTTAGTTCCCATAATGATTATAGTTTTGTTAGGCCAGGATACTCTTTTTTTTTTCTTTTATGTGCATTTGTACTTTGTTTCAGTTAGTTGGGTAGTTATCCAGTAGTCTGAATTTCTATTGCAGGAGCAAGCAGAAAAGGCTGTAGATGGTACACAAGCGTGTTCAACTTTGTTTATTGCAAACCTGGGTCCCCTTTGCACTGAAGATGAACTCAAGCAAGCCCTTTCTCAGTAAGTTTTACCAGAAACTTTTCTGTATCCAGAAGATAACCGTTTGTGTGCTATTCAAGCATCTGGTTGTGCAAGTATGTTTATTCATATATGAACATTGAAAGTTGATGGTGCTAGTCTTTCTGGTGCAGATATCCAGGATTTAACTCCCTCAAATTACGTGCCAGAGGGGGCATGCCTGTTGCATTTGCTGATTTTGAGGTAAATATCCTGTTGTTGGTGATGACCAATAATTAGCTTAGAAATAAATGTGGTTTATTATTAAACTCATGGCAAATGATATTAGTGCACCGCATAAGCTTTATTTTATTTCCTATGAGAAGAATTACACTTCTCTCTTTAGTGCACAAATTGCCTTTCTCCTTAGCCCTACAATAAACCAGTTGTCATATTGCTGCTTGTTACACCTCCTTCAACCCATTTTTTCACAGAAGGCCATAGCACAACTCCATAATTTTCCAGTCCTGAAACATTGTGTCTCCACCCCCGTGAACGAGCCCCCATACTCACCACAGAGAACCAGTACATCCCAATTTGCCCAAAACCAAGATCCATTAGCTCCTGTGTCATTTACGTGCCATGAAAATAGACACCCACCTTGCTATTTATTCGTGTTCTTTTTGCCTGTCCTTTTTTCCTTTTCTTGATTTATTTCTTGATTCAGTTTCTTCTTCATATTCTCTGGAGTTGCAACCTTATTGCTGCTGATGTTCAAAGTGTTCATTGATTTTTTTTTTTTTTTGGTTTTTCAAGACCCGGGGGGGGAGTGTTTGGTCAATAATCTCGTATTATCAGCCAAATTTACAAAAATCAGTATATGCCCATAGCGAACTAAAAATTACTGACAAGTTTGAAGTCATTCGCTATCTGTCTGGAGGATTAGGGAATGGCCATTGCTTCATCTGCTTCATTCCTTCATCTTGTTATACGGCAGGGAGTTGAACAAGCATCGGAGGCAATGAATGCACTTCAAGGCAGCTTGTTGTCATCATCAGACCGGGGCGGCATGCATATAGAGTATATACTCTGAACTCTTTTAATTTCTGATATACCTTCAGAATCTTCCTTTATTACGACGATAAACTGAGTGAGATCCTTGTTGGTGCTCTTCAGATATGCGAGGTCTAAAATGAGGAAGCCTTAAAGAGGACAACACTGTCAAAACCCCAAAAATTCACTCCGGCACTGCTGTAAATTTTGAAAAGAAACACGAAGAATGGCAGCACTCTATGGCATAGCTGTCTAAATGAGATCCTTGCTAGACACTTAATGAAGAAAATCGAAAGCTCTAAAATGAGATTCTTGTTAGATATTTAATCTTCGACTGTATGAGCATAGTTGTCTAAATCTACAACCCGTTTGAATTGTTATTTTCTAGAGTTTTTGCAAAAAAAATACTATAACTATGTAAAGTAGAAAGGTGATTGAAAAATGTATTCACGAAAAATATAAAATGCTTTTGGAGAAATTATTTTTCGTATATCTGAGTTCTGTAGTGTGATGCGTAGTATTGTACGCTTCCAAAGGCGTTTCTTGGTGACAATTTCCTTTTTCAACCCTTTTTTGAAAGCCCTAAATCTAGGGGACTACATTCCTTCTGGGTTAACGTGTACAGGTTTTCGCTTAGGAAAAATTCCATTTGGTTAATGGTCTGCTATTGTACCAGTTATTGAAAGTTAACTTTGCAAGATTCTCAAATCCTTGTGAATCTAGATTTAACACAATGGCCAGGGTATTTGTTCATTGTCTCTGGTTTTCGGCAATTTCATTCCCCCTTCTTCCTTTGCTAAAAAATTGGTATATATGTGTAAAATATGTAGAAATAGTGTCAACAATTCCAAACGATTTAAATCAAGACAGCAACTTTGTGGCAGCAAACTGCATTCGTTTCAAAAGCAACTATTAATGAAGTATGAAACGATAAAAAGCAGGTGAGAAATAAATTCTATTGTCTGAAGAAATATAGGATTTTTAAGAAAAATTTTCTTGACAATAAAATTATACACATACGAACATATTTTCTTTGCAATTTAGGAGAAATTGTTAACTTAGAAGTGAATTCCGCTAGACAACTTCCTGACTGGAGAATATGTAGGCATAGTAGTTCTCATCTTTTGATCTTCAATCATTTTTAAGATCCATTTTGATTACAAAACTTCAAGACTGCTAACTTGCTTCTGTACAAAAGTCAAAATCTAGATAGCATTGCTTTGATTGGATTCCGCAAGAACAAAAAATGGAAGTATCTATTTGCATTGAAATCATAGCTTGTCGCAGGAAGCAATTTACAAAGCTTGTCGCAGGAAGTATTCTTCAAATGGAGTTCTTGTTTTATCCCTCTCCTAGAAAGCAGGTCTTCTCTCTTCCAGTGAGAGCTTTGCACTTATTCCCTCCAATGTCTCCTTCATAATTGGCCCACTATATTGTTGATGTTGAAACTGAGGTGCCCAAATTCTTCCACTCCGGCTGCCAACATCATATCCTGGTGCTGACATCTGAGATGGGTCCATAATTATGTCGCCCTCCAGCATCCGAAGCACCTTTTGACCATGAGCAGGCAAATTAGTAAAGAGAAATTTTAATTGAGGAATCTACATGACAAACAAGGCCTATTTAGTGGAAATGTTGATAGGTACAAAAGCAGGTTCTTTTGTAGTCCTGCTGTACCAACTGATTTGGTGAAATGCAGGATTGAACTTGTAATTCCCGCTCAAAACTGCTGATACTTTGCCTTCTACGTAAGAAGGTAAGATGTGGCTCACTTTTTGTTGCCTCAAGACCAGATTCAATTTTGTGCACAATACAACACAAGATGACTTATGGTTTCAGAAGTGGCCAAAAATGGATATATCTATATCCGTCTCCTACGGACAAGTTGTCCATGTTGTAGACTCTAAGGAAACAGTAACTAAATGCAGCTTTCAAACAAGATCATGGTTTACTAATCATATATGCTCATAAAAGGAGATTCCATGTAGTTTAGAGAAAAAAAATTGTACTTTCACCGAAGAAGAGCATTAGAAAAGTAACCAAGTTAAGAGGATTATTCCTTTAGTAAGATGACATGCTTACTTGCAGTCAGGTGACCATGCATTTGATAGAAAAGCACCTTGTGCAATTATACTGTTAAGCAACAACTATGTTAGATTTTTATTGTTGTACCCCTAAACCAAGCATTTTTTACCTGTGACATGCGAGGTCTCGTATGAGGATCACGCCTTATGCACATAGATGCAGCATGCAACATGCAGTAAACCTCATGTTCTGAATATTGGTTTCCTAGACGAGGATCGACAAGTTCATCAATCGCATATTCATCCAACAGTGGACGTGCCTGTATCAAGATAAAAGAGGCAGAATCAAGGATAAGATGAGATGGACATAAGGATCTCCAAATCTGCCAGTTTCGGAAACCAAAATTGGAAAGAAAAGGCTTTATAAACTTGTTGAAATATACCCATTCCGTGAGACACTGCTGGCCCTTGGGCCTGTTAAGATCCACTGCTTTTCTACCAGTGACTAGCTCCACTAACACCACTCCAAATGAGTAAACATCAGCCTTATCAGTGATTTGACCACTTTGAGCATATTCAGGAGCCAAGTACCTAAATGAAGTAGAACAACTTAAGTGATTATAGACTGGTGAACATATTCTCCAGAGGTAACAGGATAAATCAACACTTACCCAAATGTTCCAATTACTCTAGTTTCAACACCTGTGTCTCCATCAGGTTGCCATCTAGCCAGACCAAAATCTCCAACCTTGAAAACAAATTGTTCCAGTAAGACATATTTGGTCTACTACTACTCTACTTCTATCATAAGAAACATGATGCAGATGTATGTGATGTGGAAGCTGCAGATCTCCCAAAACAAAATTTTTAATTGACAAAAAATGAAGAAATGATATTGAACTTCTAGTTTGATGTATGAAAGTTAACCCATAGGACATATCTTCAAGCAAATATAGAAATGCACTTTTAACTAGCATTGTCATCCATCGAGATTCCAAGAGCAACTTTTCACAGAAAATGGTGTGCCTTGTTAACTACATCTCCTGATACAAAACTTGCATACCAGTGGTTCAAAGTCGTGAGTAAGGAGAATGTTGTTTGGCCGCATATCTCGGTGAACAATGCAACCTACTCTGCACTCTTCATGAAGATATCTTAGCCCTCTTGCAGCTCCCACAGCAATTTTCTGCCGAGCAGACCACTCTAAAGGATCATGATGTCGTCCTGGAAATATAACAAGCTTGTTACAAGAAACTATAGCAATTCAAAAGCAGCATCTTGAACTTACATGATTGAGCTCTTTGAACTGTAACTAGTAAGGTTTTACGCCTACATGTACTTGAGAAAATAGTTTAATTTACGTCTAGATTTTCTACCTCTATCTCATGAAATTACTTAATCATAGCTTAGTTCAGTGGAATGATAACACTATTGCATACCATAAAGATGAGAATCCAAAGATCCATTGCAGATGTATTCATAAACTAGAAGCCTTCTGCCATCCTCAATACAGAATCCAATCAACATAACAACATTACGGTGCTGAGCACAGCTAAGTACTTCAACTTCAGAGCAGAATTCTTGGTCCCCTTGAGAACTAGCCAGTTTGTGTTGCTTAACTGCAACTACCTGGCCATCTGAAAGGACTCCCCTATGAACAGATCCATATCCTCCTTCAGCCAAAAAATTAGCTTGTGAAAAACCTCCAGTAGCAAGCTCCAGCTCAGCATAGGTGAACCATCTAGGAGGTTTTCCAAATACAGGGGCTTTATGTTGACAAATTGAACACAAGGGAGGAGGTCCAAGTGGTCCATTTCTAGACAGTGAAATTGCTTCTCTCACATTTCCACTGAAATCCAAATTAGACCTGTAGTTTGGCGAACAAAAGGCAGCTTCTTCATCCAGTTTACAGAATTTTTCTAGCAAAGCCTTTGTTGTAGAATTCTGTGACCTGTTATTTAATCTCTCAGTGCTTTCTTCCGAAAGAGATGACTGACAACGTGAATTGACAACATCTGCTACCCATGGTTGGAATCTTAAGCTTGACGAGGTTGTGGACAAATTTTCACTTTCCGTGTCTGAACTGGATTCATCAAGATCTTGATCTTGTTTAGTGGCTAACAATATGTCCTTTTTCAGGTCACTATTTGTCTCGGTAACAAAAAAAGGTGAAGTTCCAGGATCAGAGCTTGAGACCGATGAAGTTCCAGCTTCAGTTGCTGTAAACATTTCAGGACTACTTGTTGGGGTAACAAGAAGACCTCGGGTAGATATCAATGAATCATTCTTGTTGGCTTCTTCTTTTCCAGACGACTGATCCAGCTTGGATGATGATGCTCCAGTGGCTTCAGGTTCCTTTTTAGGTGATCCAACTAAATTTAGGCGGAGAACCTTAGGTTGAGATCTCTTCATAACCACTATGTTGCACTGTAGTTCTTCCATGCACCGCTTCTCCTCATGTTTCAGGTGTCTGCAGAGCTTAAATGAGGATCAGCACTACTTTATTATGAAATATATGTGGAAACCTGAGTAAGTCAAAAAGTAAATACATAGTTACAACTGACAGAATTATGTATATTACTTGTCCAGCACAACCCAATTAGCTTGAGTTCTCCTTGCTTCCGCAGCTACCGAACCAAAGGGGGATCCAGCCACAATTTTAATCTTGACATTTATCTGAGAAGAATTTTCAGGACAGGAAATGAAAAATGACAGAAAGTAACATGCATTGCGTGCTTCAACATACCCCCTCCTTGTCCCTTCCCCCCAAAAACGATGGAACAGAATCTTTAATTCTGACCTTATTTGGATCATAAACATCATGAAGCTGAAGGATCATCTGGGAGCAGGAATCTGTTATGTCGGATTTCTGTTCTGAAGTAGTCCCAGCATGCGACCTTCTGTGGCCGCTGGCACAATCTCCTGCAAATCGTGGGAACCCCCATAGCTTTTTACCTAAACATTGAGGAAAAAAAAGTTTGTCAGGTCTAGAAATCCATAATTGCTGTCATCAATTCCATAAAATTAAAAAAAAAAAAAGAAAGATAAAAGATAAAAACACACACACACACAACAGTAGAATAGATCACAGAAAACATGAATTTCCCATTTATGCGCAAAAATGCAAAGATCACCTTCATTCCATAGTGCCAATGCGGGCAAAGAAGTTGTACACAGTACAATTTATGACAACTACAACTGATAAAAACTGAACTTAGTTGAAATATGTAATTTGCTTAGTTAAACAACTCCTGACATTATATATTTCAGACGTCCACTACAAATAGTAGTGTGAAATCCGACAGAATTTTCAGGCAATGTAGAAGGCTAGCTGAGAAAGTTCTCATGTTTAGCAAACTATCAGGAAACATATGAAATACTTTGCAGCTAATCCAAGAATCACATCATAAACCTGTGCCTCCAATCATCTGAATTAAATTTCTACCAAAACTCAAGAACAATGGGTGGTGGTTCCTGCAACAAAAGGATATCGACTTTCTATCCCACTTACAACAGCAAATGAGAATCCATAAATGTAATAAAAATTCTAAGATAGACGCACACATATGAGACTGCTAGTAGTTCACTTTCTCTTTTTGTCAGAGACATAGCTTCCCTTCTCCAACACTGACTTTAAAGCATGGCCCAGAAAAAGTGAGAAACAACAAAAAACAAAACAGAATAACGCAATTTACCCGGATTTTGTGAAGGAACAACCACAAGGAGCGTAATGCAATCTCCAGGTTGAACAACATGAGTTAAAGCCCACACAAGAGCAGTCTTTGGAATTTCCTTTGATGCCTTGACAGCAACCACAACTTTTTCAGTTACAGAGTCTCTGTCTAGCTTCCCCTTCGTCAAATCCTTACTCATTATCTCAGTTGAAAACTTTTCTCCTGCTTTAAACTTTCAAGACTGAATATAATTTAATCCTCTGAACAAATCATAGCCTCGATCCGTTTATCTTCATGTATAAAGAAACAAGAGGACTACCAAAATGCACATATTTCTAAGTGGAACAGCAGCAAGAAATCATTATTGGCATTATTGTCCAATATGCCCCACCCTTGACATTGTGATTAGCCTGCATATACAGCCGACATGGACACTGTTCCTCCAACTACGAGACCCGTCTAACAAACGCTCCGAAAATCACTTTCCCCGGAAAATTTTCCTTCTGCAAGGTAATTGTCTACTTATCTTTTACTTGGATTTCTCCTTTTGGAGGGGATGCCAATTGCCAGCCAGATATAGTACTGAAATCGGGAATGAATGATATTCTTGAACTCCCAGACAAGAAGATAAAAGTCATAAAACTGCGTGTAAGATTCTGAAATGGTACCAAATCAGCTCTTTCAATGCATTTAGAGAATGCTATTTTCACAACCAAACGAATCCAAATGACTTGATGGAAGTTCAGCAAGCTGAAATCTTGTTTTCAAGCACAATCATTGACTGTTTGGCACATGATATCTGGCAACAAGCAGAAACAGACGTAAATATACCGCCAGAATCACCGGAGAAAACTTACTTCTCACTAGATGTCCCTTTATAGGCAGCTTTCAAATCCAGGAGTCAAAATTGGTGAAAAAGGGACATCAGGTGAAATGAGCTGTTTCCGAGATCCAAAAAAAGGAGTCTACTATTTCAAAAATGGAATTTGAGGAAACCTTTGAACTGAGATTTCACCTTTACCTATTACAATTTCAAAAAAAAAAAGATTCCTTCTCCTATAGGAAACAGAATAACTATAGCTATTGCTTTTACCTTTGCCTCAGCACACCACAAAAACCCAAATAATAATCAAAAGCAAAGGCAATCCATGTCCATCCAAAACACAAAAAGTCCACATCAAATCGTTGAAATGACTAGAGAGTTGATTTTTTTTTTTTTTGTTCTTATTTCTTTTGTTTTTTCCCCCTCTGCTAGTATCAGAAATGATTCCTCAGTCTTTAATTACAAAAACTAACATCAAACCCACCATGAAAGTTCCACCACCTCAAGATTTTGAGCCACTACCCTGCAAAATTGCAAAATGCCCATTAGTATACTTGTACTAATCAGATTGCAAAATAATGCACATTCGAACATAAAACAATCGAAAAAAAATTGATGAGGATGAGGGTTGTCTTAATTCTCACTGGTAGAGGAAAATTTATGACATCAGTAAAGATTTTGGCTCTAGGGTAGTGTTAAATTGTTAATGATACAATATTCCCGCAGAGAGTAGAGCTGAGCGAGATGGGATTTTTGCTATCCGAAAGTGACAATCGTCCCTTATCTATACTCTTGCTCTGCTTTCACATCAAAACAGCTAAAAGCAAACAACAAACCCAAAAGGCCAAAACATACTCCATACTAGTACTATTGTAGATTCAACATGGGTGTTTCTACCGTCTCAAGTGTAGTGCGTGTCTCTGAGAGAGAGAGAGAGGGGCAGCAGAGGTAGCGGAAAGATAGGAAAGAAGTAAATGAAAAAATAACGAAACCTAAATGAGGAAAGACCTGCAAGTTGAACAACCTCAACAACTGAACCCCATATTGATGTTAGCATAATACCATGAAAAGAGAATAATGATATTGATGCGTTTGCTGATGATGATGATCATGAATGAGTTGTTTGTAGTAGTACTCACTACTTAGTAAGAGAAAGCCATGGACACTTGCATCTATTTGTGTAACAGGAACTTTTCAACAGGGTGGAGGGGTTGCTACTTTGTTTATACTTTACACGGAAATATGCAATGCAAAAAACCCAAAAAAAAAGTGGTGCTCAATAATCTGTGCAGAAAAGAGTAGACTGGACTGGGAGGGAGACTGGTCCCTTTCTTTCTCTTTGCTCTACTTACTCTCTTCTGTTCTGATATTTGTATTTTCACTGTTGTCACTGTTATTTTCTGATTTCCACAGTCTGCAGATGTTAATGTTTGAAGTTTTTAGGAGAAGAAAAGGAAAAAAAAATAGTGTGAGTACTAGCTGATGTTTGAGGTTTGTTTTCCAATAATGCCCTTGTCTTCTGCATTTAACATCAACTCTAACCTATTAGGCAGTTGTTTGAGGCACGCACTCAAACAAGCGTGTAACTCGTAAAGATCGTATTTTTTTTCTGTCGTGCCTTGTTTGAAATGTGATTTTAAAAAAAAATTATGTTTTATGTAAACATATTTTTCAATTATATTTTTATTTTATATATATTAAATCGTTACAAAATTCTAAAAATAGTAGTCAATGGGGAAATAGTTCAACCCTTGCAATGAAATGTTTTAAGTAGCTCAGAACTCCCACAAGGAAGTGAGCGATTATAGAGAAATAAGGTAGAGAAATAAATAAATTTAATAATATATAAGTGACATATTTTGTTTAGGATTAAACTTATATACATTAATGGGTTTGTTTGGATAGGGTAATAATAAATCTCACGGTCTCAGTCTTGGGAACAAGTTATTGGCACTTAAATTATTTTTAATATACTCTATAATTTTTTTTTTGTAAGTTCTGCAAAAAAAAATAATAATAAATGGAAAACTTGGGTTGCCTTTATCATTGGCCTAAAGGAAATTTGTCACAAAGATGATTGAATATAGTTCGTTGGCTCCAGTAGCCACATTTTTCCCATGCAACATGCTTTTTAATTTGGCAATTTGTTAATTTAAGGGTTGATTGTATGTGTGTCCTTCTCTATTGGTGCCTAAAATTAATGACTAATTCCACATCCTTTCCACTGCTGCAGCATTACCATATTTGATTCCATGTACCAAAATATTTAAAAGTGATTGCAATTGATTCTCAACTCGAGGAAAGAAAAAATCTGGACCCATTTGGAGTGCTATGTTTTGAAATTTTTGTAGAAAAAAAAATATACAGTAACGATTCGATGCATATGAGATAATAAATAATAATTAAAAAATACGTTCAAAGAAACTTTAAAAAATTCTCATTCCTTAGAAAACTGCAATCCAAACCGCGCTTGAGAGTTACAAAAAGGATTTAAAGAAAGAAATTTTGTTAGGGGACAATGGGCATATGCTCACAGGATAATATAAACAAGAGCACAAACGACGTCATATAAACCAAAATTTGAGTTTCGAAAGCCTGCAGCGGCCAGACTGAGCCCCAAGCTGCTGAATAATGGAAACTTCAGATTTGGCTTTAAAGATTGTCTTTAGTTAAAAAAGAAAAAAAAAAAGAAAAAAATGTGGTAGTGTAGGTGTAGCATACATTCATGATTCATCTTTATGGAGGGTGGGCACTGGGCATTGGTTGGATGTGGGCGGCGTACAATTACAATCGCTGCTCCAAATTTTTTAAACAAAAGCAGCAATTCAGTTCCCTATTTTAAGTTTTTAACTACTACTACTAAACCACTGATCTAAGCTCCGTGGCAACCAACAAAGTCTTTTAAGTATGATGGGGCGAGAGGTAAGGTTTCACTAAAGCCCTTAAGTCTTTAAGGTTTGCCTTCCATCTTTTGTCACTAAAATTTGACAAGTCATTTTAAATAGCTTCTAAACGAGTATGCAGTCCACTCGATCTGGATCTTCAATAGATAATTTATGCCATGCTTGGATTGCTTGTTTCCGTCGGAAAATATTGTCGTTTTCCGTAATCACATTTTCCTATCACCTTTTTCCCTCACATATATCAAATCGCTACAGTAATTTTTCCATGAAAAATGACGGAAAATGCAATCCAAACAAAACCTTAGTTTTTTTCAATTTTTTCTTGAATCTTTTCAGATTCCTCCTCCCCATAATAAAGAATAAGTGTAAATTTATTATACCCTGAAAAAAAAAAATTACTACTACTAGTTACTATGACTGCATCCACATCTGACTTGGTAACGAGACCTTCCCGGCCAGGAATTGAACCCCTTGAAAGTTGAAATTTGAACTAGACGCATTCTTTCTTTTCTATTAAATTAAATGGGCAATTGGCTTTTAGTTATAGTAGTGTGTAGTACGTATTTAAATGATGGACCCCAGTTAAGGATCCAACAATTATGGTTTAACTTTGTCTTCTTTACATGCAATGATGATTTTTACCATAATGTTCTCTTAAAGTTTTGTGAAATTTAAGTGAGCCAGACAAATAATTCGCAAATCAAGACAATCCGTCCCATGTAGGACTGCCAATGCCATCATGTTCTAAACTTTTCAACTGCGGATTCTTTTTTCAAGATGGGATTTTGGAGGGAAAGAGCTTGAAGCTAACATCTCTCTACCTCCCAAGCTCTCAGCGGTTTATTATTTTTTGAGGTTTTTTTTTTTGATTAATCTTTTCTACACTGACAGTCAGTGTATACACTATCAGTATTAGATAAATGATAACTGTACAAAATTTGAATTTGAAATTCAATTTTTACACACATGTCATTAATCTAACGATGATAGTGTATACATTGAGTCAGTGTGGGAAAGATTTACTTTTTAAAAAAATATATATATTTATAAAGATTTGATGTAAATAAAATTTAAAAATAATTAAAAAACATACTTATAGAAAATTAAAACATTTTTTAGTTGAAAACTGCAATCCAAACAACACCTTCGACTTCAGTGGATTTCTTGGTACAATAAAATAGTTACTACTCAGATTACGATAGTTGAAATTGAGTAATGGGTTGTTGTGCTGCGACTACTTCTTTTTATGATATGTTTATTCTTTAGAACTTGTGAGTAGTAATGCCACTAAACTACTTAATAAGTAGACTCTTAATTGGTTGTACTATGCATGATGAGTCATTAATGCATGTCTTTAATATGTACGATGTGTATTTGCTTGCTGCCTCTATTGAATTTAAAAAGATGAATGTTTTTTTTACCTTATTAAAATTGTGTTCCAAATAGATGCACCAGCTGAGGTGTCTTGAAAGCCATTAAATATTATTGAATGTGGACGTATTTATTAATCTTCAAAAACAAGGCCTGCTTAAAAGTTCTCACTACTACTAGTTAGTATTAAAAACCTCAAGACTAACAAATTTAAATGGGCTTTTTTTTTTCTTGGAAAATGGGCACTTGTTAATATACATGAATTTTTACCTAATGTATACACGCACACACACGTACATAAAGTAAAACATCTTTAAGAATTAA